ACCATGTCTGTGCTATATCTGCACTGTGACCATATTGCCCTGCACTGTATTTGCACTATCCCCACACTATGCCTGCACCATTCACGCAGTATATCTGCACCGTCCTCGCACTGAATCTGCAATGTATCTGTACTGTATCTACACTGACCCACACTGTATCTGCACAGACTGGTGAGTAACGTTGAGGTGGGAGTGCCATCAAATTGCATGGGGTAGAGAAATGTAGCGAGGGGGTGGGGAGGGGGGGCAAAGGCCAGGGATATGCAGCCATTCACTATGATTAGTTAGATAGAACATAGAACAGTACAGCACAGTACAGGCCCTTCGGCCTACGATGTTGTGCTGACCTATTATCCTACTCTAAGATCAAACTAATCTGCATACCCTTCATTTTACTACCATCTATGTGCCTATCCAAGAGTCACTTAAATGTCCCTAATGTGTCTGACTCTACTACCAGAGTTTTCAAAAAGATGATTGACATCTGAGAGATGGCAGGAACTTACTTTAAATTTGTAATGTGTGTGTGTGTATGTGTGTGTTGATGGGCAAGCTAGGTGGATTAGCCATGGGAAATGTAGGATTACAGGGACAAGGTGAGTATGTATGAGATGCTCTTCAGAGGGTCGGTGTAGACTCAATGGACTGATTGGTCTGCTTCTATAATTCTGTGATGCTGGGGATTGAAATGGACCAATTGTTAGTGGGGGAAGCACGTGGGTAAGAGTGATCATCATGTCATATAGAGGAAAAAACAAAGAAAAATATATATTTGTACTTCTAAATTGGAAAATGGCTAACTTCAAAGGGATGACAGAACACACTGCTAGGGTACGATGTAATTGAAGATTACAGGGAAAATGGTATCAGAAAATGTTTGATCTTTAAGGATCAATCAGGCATGGAATAAATACATTTCAGTGAGGGTGAACAGCTAGGGAAGTGAAGTCCAGTCTCCTGCAATGATGTGGGTGATACACAATCAATAAAACAGTGTGAATGGTGCATATCATGTGAATTTTTCAAGTGACAGCCAGTTCAAATACAATAAATTGAGAGGGAGTTAAGGAAGAGTGATAAGTCTGGCAAGGAGAAAGAATGAGAATAGTTAAAAATGAAGCCCTAAAATTTCAATCTTAAACAGGAAAAAGGAAGTGAGGGTTTGAGGCGAACCTATCAGTGATAAAGAAGGTAATACATGCTTTGAGTCACAGAGCAATGTGAGAATATCAAAGAATATTTATTCAATAAAGGATATAAGAAGATTCTGAGTCCAAGTCAGTCACTTTAACATTAGTAATGGGTCAGGTTTTAGAAAATATTATCAGAGAAAAAGCAACAGACACTTGGAGAAGATTAAGTTCATTAGGGAGAGCCAGCATAGATTTACAAAAGGCAGGTTGTGAATGAATAACTGAATTGAATTTTTTGATTAAATAGCAGTGAAGGTTGGTGAAAGGAGTGCATTATGGATGTGGTTCTACATGGATTTTAACAGAGTTTGGCAAACTACCATATAAAAGTCCAGTTAACAAAAGGAGGGTAATTCGCAGTTTGAATAAAAATTGGCTTCAGAACAGAAACTACAATGAGTTGTGATGATTGGTCGTTTTGCAGTCTGAAGGTAATGGTTAGTTCGAGGATCACAGACAGTTTTGAAAAATACGGATGATTTGGATATTGTAAAAAAGTCAAATTTCAAAGTTTGCCAATGAGATCAAACTTGCAAGTGTTTTAAATAGTGATAATGATACAAATCAATGTTGAGGTTGGTTAGCTCGCCAAGCTGGTTTGTTGTTCCACAGACGTTTCATTACCATGCTGGGTAACATCATCAGTGTAGCCTCCAATGAAGCTTCATCGGAGGCTGCACTGATGGTGTTACCCAGCAATGGTAACGAAACGTCTGCGGAACAACAAACCAGCTCGGCGAGCCAACCAACCTCAACACCCACAACCTGAGCTACAAATCTACTCCAAAACCTTAGATACAAATCAATTGCAAGTGACTTTAGATAAATCAGCAGAATGGTCAGATGATTGGCAGAAGAAAGTTAAATATGAGAAGTGTGAAGTGTTGTATTTCGGCAGAAACAATAGCAAGAGACACTGTAGCCCTAATGGCAAAGTTTTAAACAGTGTATAGGGAAAAATGGTGTTGTGTCCGTGCGCACAGAACCCTCCAGGTGGCAACATATATTGAGAGAGTGGTTAACAAAGTGTATGGAAACTTTGGCTTCATAAATAGAGGCATTGAGTATAAAAGCAAAAAGGTTATGTTGAACTTTGATAAAGATCTTATTAGACCACATCTAAAGCAATGCATCCAGTTCTGGTCACCAAACTTTAGGAAGGATGTGAGGGTCTTTGAGAGGTTTTGCCAGTTGGTTCCAAGGATGAGGGATTTTAGTGACAAGGTTAATTTGGAGAGGCAAAGGGAAGTGAGGGATCTTTGACTGAGGTGTTTAAGATTACAAGATTAGGTTTAGATGAAGTAGACAAAAGAAAAGCTATTCCTGTTATGCTGATGGGACTAGGACAAAAGAACACTTATTTAAATTTTTTAACCAAAGGTACAGGTGGTGGGGATGAGGCGATAACGAAGAACAGTTTAAAGCTGTACGTGCTGCTCAGCTGATAGCTTGACACCTGCTGACTCTAAGGGTGCTATAAGAGACAATCAATGACTTCAAAACTAAACTGAATAGCCACTCCGGGGAAATAAACTTTGAAAACTGCACAAATAGAGTAGAGAGAAGGGATTGGCTGGATTGCTGTGCAGAGAGCAACATAGGCTGATCATTGACTTTCTTTTGTGCTTGAGTAATAATGACTCTGTACCACTGTCACAAACTAATGATCAATAACAGAATATTCAGTTCTATCTTTCCAAACCATTCACCTTTCAAACCACAGCAGAAACAGGGAGATAAAAGTGGCTATAAGTCATCCATAAATAAGCTAATATAAGACATTGGAGAGTGAGGAAGCACAGGAACAATAAAGTGCAGGATCATCAATCAGGAATCATTTATAAAATGTGAGTACACAAAGAAATGCTGATTTTTTGCTATTATAAACAGCATGTTGAAGCTGGAAGGAGATGAAATATTTCAATCGTTTATTTTGAATGAATCATTCAAAAGTAGGATTTGTATTGACATGTAAACTTGGTTAAAAAAATTACATTAAATAAATCAAAAGTGGATGACATTTAATTAAAAATTAATCCATTTTATAAATTCCCCTTGTATTCCCCCACCCAATATGTCAGTGTATTCAAAGATCGGGTTACAAGCTTGTATGCGTTACAACTTGACAACAAATACATCTGCTGTTCCGTTGAAGAGAAACCACACACACCTACAAGGAGGTCCTCAAAAAGATGTAAACATTTTTAATTGAAGTAATTTCTTTCATAAGAATCTCAGACTCATTGGGAGGTGGCTGGCAAGTAAATAAAATCACCAACAAGGTCCCATCAAAAGCCGAATAAAATGTCATCTTATGTTGGAAATTTACAGTTAAGTGAGATTAATTTTCTCTTATTAAACCTTTGCATTAATGGAAATAGTTTGGAGAGATTAATCTGCACTCATTGGTGCAGTTTCTCAATGACATTCAATTTAATTATGTGAAAAGTTATCAAATATTCTTCATTCCAAAGTCAAACTTTATTTTGTAATGAAAACAATTTAATTACATCTTCTTATTAAGCATAACCAGATCAAGAAAATTGCATATTTTACAAAGGGATTTGTAGAAGATGACAGTAAAAATGTTTAAACAAATATCAGAGAACGTACAGAGACTCTGAGCTTATCAGTCCTTCCTTGGAGGTAACAAGCTGTTTGTGATTATCAAAACTTGGAGTAGAACAGGATTCAATTGCAGATGGGCACTGCAATTAGTTCGTGCAGCAGTCACACTTTAGACTCAAACAGGGACAGTTACAAAGATGAGGAAAGCTTTACAAACAAAACTCGGAATTTCAACTCGGCAGAATTTTAACAGCCTTTCCGTGAGACTCCCAAGGTTTGAGTCACAAAGAATACTAAAGTGTAAAAACAGAGGAAATCAATATTTCCATGACAAAGCTTTTAGGATTACGACAGTGATTGAAATATATTAATTGCTCAGTGCACATCATCATTTCATAACAGAAATGTGTTGCCTGGTCCATATATATTGTTTGTCTTTGACATAACGGTAATATTATGGCTGCAGTAATGAATGAACTGATCTGAGGCGAGCACCTCTCCGTAGTATGGACCCAAGTTAGATTGGTCAAGCAATAGGCCCTTCGGCCCTCTTTTCACATGATTTTTTTTCAACCTCCGACAGACACACCAGATCCAATAGAAGTAGCCATGGTAACGTAGCAAACACAGACCTGTAGCATGAATGTGCACAGGTCATTTACACGAAACAAGGGCACCTTGAACATTTAGAATAAACTGCACTGAGCCAAGGTCAACCAAAAATAAAAAAAAAAGTACATTACATGTGCTTACTAGCTGTACATAACATGCTACCAGATGTTTTTGTGGGTTTGGTATATATTTGTAAGTCATGCATAAGTCTGTACATGAACTCACACAGGCTGGATGGCTGGAGTTACACAGAGGGATCTACAACTGAGTGCTTTTGAAACTCAAAACTGAAGACGGATTCACATTTCAGGACACAATAGGCAATAATGTCATACACCAAAATTACTCTAACTTAACTTTTCTGTGAACAGGAAAGGGTATCCCTGCAGCACCCACTTCCCCCTACCTCGCCAATTAAAATTAGAGTATTATTTTTCCCACAATTTCCTTCACCCTGCCTTCAAACAGTGTTGTTAGCAACCTAGGGAGAGAATCAACAGAAGCATACAGTACCGTTTGGAATATGAGATGGGGTTATATAGAGATAAAATAGAAGGAATCATTGCATTCTCGGATCATATCATGTTCTGATCAAGTCATTTCTTCAGCTTTAATTGATTCCCTTACCTGGAGTAATTTTCGTAGATTCACTGCGGCTGGGACTATCTGCATGAACAGATTCTGGCAAAAAAAAGAAAAACAATATTTTTTTAAAAGTGCTCATAATTTAAGAAACTAGATTCCAAAGCATCTACTTAGATTTCTGACTTGCCCAATAGCAAATCTGTCTGCAGATTCTTGCACTGTTGCTTATTTTCAAGTATCATATCAAAGCAAGAATATCCTGCCACGCATGACGAAACTACCAAGTTAACTACCAAGTATACCTGAGCTAAAGCATAATTGGCCATTGTACATGTTTTAACCAAGGGCATGCAAATTCAAAAAGAATTAATAACGTCTGTGACTTCTCTCAGTATGTTAAACCCTTAACTGATACCAAGTAAGGAATGTTAACTTTTTCTTCTTAAATGAAAATTTCGCAGGGTTCGACAAACTATCTCACTGCAGAAGCTCCAGCTTAGCATCCTGCCAACAATGGATTACAACAAAGGATTGCTAAAATAAATTATTCAAAGAAAAATACCTTATAACATTCTAACATGTCTATGAATCAATATGTGATTTTAACAAACTACTGGTCAAACTTAGATCATTTTAACATATGGAGGATCAATCAAAAAGTAGCATGGGGAGGCAATGGCCTAGCAGTTATAACCAGAGTATTAATCCAGAAATTCAGCTTATGTTTTGGGGGACTTGGGCTCAAATCCTGCTGAGGCAGATGGTGGAATTTGAATTCGATAAAGGATCTGATGATGACCATATCATCGAATTTTGGAAAAACCCACCTGGTTCACTAATGTCCTGGTCTGGCCTACATGTGACTCCAGATCCACAGTAATGTGGTTTACTCTTAACTACCCTTGGGCAATTAGGGATGGGCAATAAATGCTTCCTTAACCAGAGAAACCCACTGCTGGAATTGCCTCATGCACATTGTACACAGCGACCATAGATAATTTTTATGAAAATATTATATGATGGCACATCCAATGCAAATTTAATTGTTAGATTCTAGCTTTGGTTCTATGTGGCATGAATAAAAATAAAATGACTTTTGTAAAAGGGGGCACATTTTCTACTAAGGTCATCTTCTCAGCTGCATTCATGGATTCCTGTATCAGTTTATGGCAGAGAAACCTTGTCCAGAAATCTTCAGCGCTTAAATGATCTAAAACTGACTGGATAAGTGTTCATCTGATCAGGGTCGGAATTAGGGTTTCTGATCCTGACCCAAATAGCAGGGTCCAAGTATCTAACAGCCAGGGTCTTAGTCTGCTGTTAAGACAGAACTACTTTTATTTTGATCACTCAGTTCAAGGTCAGATCATGAAGTTTTGATGCATAAATACTCTCAGCTCAATCAGAATTGAATACAATTAAGCAACTGGCATTTGCATATTTAAAAGTCCCTATAAATTTGTTCTTTCTTTCTCCACCTATTTATGGAACTAACTATATTCATACATCCTTATTCATTTATCTGCATTTTTTAACAAAAGTAACCCTGGCTGGATAACATAAATATCCAATAGATTTGATGTTTATTCCCAAAAAAATCACACTGAGTTATGTTTTAATTCGTAACATTACAGGCACAAAAATGTTTTACAATTAGCCTTTGAAAAATTCAAATCATGTATGGATTTGTCGTTATAGTTTTTTGAAGGGTATTTGTAACTTGTGGCTTCTATCAGTGAGCCAGGAAATACTTGTTTATTCATGCATGGCGCAGGATCAGTTCCACTTTATACCTGAGCTCAGAAGCATAATTGGCCATTGTACATGTTTTAACCAAGGGCATGCAAATT